ACTATTGGCTTTAATAATGTGGGGGCCATTGGTGACTCTAATAAGAGTGCTTACAGATGACTGGCATAGACAGAAGTCTGATTAGAGCGGGCTCAAGAGAGTGTGGGAAAATTAGGGAATGCAAGTACAGTTGACTAATTCAAGAGTATGAATACATAAAGAAGGAGAAAAGTGGCACAGAAACTGAGGGGATTTAAGTCAAGTCAAGAGAGCTTTTGTCTGCTTTAAGATGGAAGTGGTTACCTTTCCATTATATATTGAAGCTATTGATTCAGTAGCTAAAATTTGATGACACAACACAGAGATGGGAGAATTGCTAGAGTGATGTTCTTGAGGAGGCAAAATGGGATGAGATCAATTGCACAAGTGGCCTTTGCAAGGAGCATAGACAATTCACCTACGGGAATACAAGAAAAGGCAGAATATATAGTCACAATGCAGCTTGGTGGGCAATTATTGGAATTTTGGGAAATATCTTCTGATTGCCTCTATTGTCTCAGTGAAAAGAAAGCAAGCTAACTCTAGGGGTGAAAACAAGAAATGAGGTATTGGAGGTTTGGGAAAGAGAGAAGGCCACATTCATCTAAAAGAGTAAAGGAGTAAACTGACTAGAGCAAAACAGTAAAACCACTGGGCAGCCCCCATCTGAGGTTGGTGATCATGCATATAAAGTGAGAACAGTCAATGGGGTTGAGTGTTCTTCTCCAGACACGTTCAGCTGCACAAGTGCAGGCACAGAGTAGGCAGATAGATTTAACCAGAAAAGCAGGAGACAGGAAAGGGAGATGAGGATATAAATATGACACTGGTTATCCTGACTTTCCATGGAATTTAAGTTTGGGGTAAGGAGGCAAGTGAGGATCTGATGGTGTCAATTTCAGTGAAAAGCTGATAAGATAAATAAATTTTTCCAGAGAACCTGAAGGACTGATAGCATTTGTATATTTAAAGGATTGAGCTAGAAAGTTAGGAGTTGGTGCTCTGAGAATAAAATGTTTGAAATTGTGATTGTGGAGGGGTTACAACTTGGGGATAATGACAAGGTAAAGAGTATGAGTCAGTGAGGTCGGAGGGAGGACAAAATGGTTGAAGGGAAAGAACTAAGTGGCCAGGATTTGGGGAAAGGATCTATGAAAATATTAAAATCACCACAAATTACTATACCAGTAGGAGAATGGGTGAGAATAATAGTGAATCAGGTACTAAAGTCTTCGAAGATTGTGCAAGAGTGATAGAGACACTTGCTACACATACATCTGACAAATAACTGTTATTCAGTATACTGAAACTCAATTTTTCCCCCGAGGGGGTGCCTCATTCCTAGAGGTACTTCAAAACCAGGTCGATGCATGGAGAGGACAGAACAAGTTCCTATTCTATTTGATTCTTCCAGCTCCAAAATTCTATTTAATATACTGTCTTTGGATAGAGGATGTATCAGATATTAAACTGATAAGAACAGATACTAAACAAGTTCCTATTCTATTTGATTCTTCCAGCTCTAAAATTCCATTTAATATACTGTCTTTGGATAGAGGATGTATCAGATATTAAACTGATAAGAACAGATACTACACTTGATCTTAGACAAAGGGTGTTGAAACCCAATTTTTAAAAAGTAAAAAAATAGAAGATAGAAACATTTCAAAGAGGCTTCCGGTCAAGATGGCAGAATAGACGGTCCCCAGCATCACTTTCTCCCACAAATCAACCAGTTTACAACTATAAAAAAGCAACGACAGCCAAGCTGGGGCCGCTAGAGTTCAGAGGAAGAGGAAGAAAGACCTATGGAGTGCATGAAGGCAGAAGAAGCCACGATGAGAGAAAGAAAGGATCGCTCCCACCATTTCGAGACCTGGCCACTTCCAAGATAGAGCTGGTGAGCACATGGAGCAGAAGCTGGCAAAAGCCGCAGCTGTGCCTTTTGGATGAAGTTTCTTGGGGGCGGCATGGTGAAGAGGGCCTTGGTGGCCCCCAGGCCAGCAAGATCACTAACAGAGTTCCTGTGGACCCACATAGGAGTTAGAAACCATAGCAACAGAATAAAGGAGCCACTCAGAGGCTGGGGAGTCATCACAAAGGACTGGTGCATGGCCCATCCCATGGGAAGTGTTTAGAGCACAGGCAGTGCGGAGATGGGCCCATGGGGGGAACATTGGGGCACAGCAAGGACAGCTGATCTGCCCCCCAAACAGCACAGGCCCACTCAGAGGAGACTGGTCAGGAATATAGAACTACAGGGGGTACGGTTTGCTGAAAAGACTTGGGTCCAGACAAGAGTTTCTACACAACCCAGGTGCACTGGATCTCAGACCAGAAGTACTTACAAAGTCAACCATTAAAACCTGAGCTGCACAAAAGCCTTCCCAGGGAATCAGCAGCAAAGCAACAATTTAGCTAAACCACAGGGCTCAAGTGCTGTTCGCCACAGGAAGTTCCCCCATTGCAGAAGTAAGCAAAGGACAACAAATTAGTTCCAGTGCACAGTTTAAGTGGTGGAAACAGCAAATAATCCAACACAGAACTGAAAGAAAACACAAAATACCCACAGACCAGAGATTAAGTTTGATATTAACTAGTAAAGGTCTAACACCACCAAAGAACACCTATGAAACCTAGAAGGACAAGAAGCCCCTTTGACTCCCCAGCCAGGGATAGGGGAGGGCTGGGGGCCTCAGCCATGTCCCCCAACACCCACAACCAACCCAGCAATGACCACCAAACCACCACAGGAAGCGCCCCAGACTCCCCAGACGGGGCAGTGGGGGACTGAGGGCTTCAGCCACACTGCCCCAACATCTGCAACCAGCCCAGTGATGACCACTGAATCACCACTGGAAGCCCCCTGGTCTCCTGAGCCAGGGAAGTTGGGGGCCAAGGGCTTCAGCCACACACCCCCTGACATCTGCATTCAGCCCAGCAATTACCAAGCCACCACTGGAAGCTCCCTGGTCTCTCCTGCAGGAATGAGAGGGGTGCCACAGGCCTCAACCATGCCCCCCTTCCTTCCTCCTTCTCCCACCTTATTTCCTTCCGCCTTCCCCTCCCACCCAACTGCTTTGCAACAACATCTTAGAATGTAAAAATAGATGGAGCCCGGACCGACCCCTCCTCCTACAACCAGGCATGCCACTGCTACCACAGGGCCCACCCCGGGGTCCTGAGGTATGGAGCCAGAGACCGACCCATCCTCCCGCAACCAGTCAAGGAGCACACCAAAAACACCACTTCCATGTGGGTGGCCCACCACAGCCACCGCAATAGCCACAGCTGCTGCAAAAGCAACTAGACACCACAACTACCATGCAGATGGCCCACCAGGCACTTGAGTGCATTGTCACAAGGAGAGTCACCAGCAGAGACCAAAGAAAAGAAGAGGATGTCTCTCTCCACAAAGCCCATTCCAGAGTGACAGAAAAAGGATCTAATCTATGACAATAGTGGGGGACATGAACACACCTCTGGCAGCACTGGACAGCTCATCTATGCAACAAATCAACAGAGTAACTATTATTCTTTCAGAAGGAGAGAAGAAATCTAGGGTTATCAGAGGTGGGAGGGAGAGGGGGATAGGGAGAGATTGGATAAGGGGGCATAAAGAATAAGTACGATTTATAATAATCTATATGCTAATAATATTGATTTGATCAACATACGTCAACATTGAACACAAAAAATATGTATAATCAATTATGATTCAATTTTTAAAAAAAGAAACATTTCAAAGAAATATATATAAGAATGGCCAATAAACTATTGGAAAAATGATCCACTTTGTTGGTAATCAGAAAGGCAAAATGAAAACACAATGAGATAGCGTTTTACTACACCAGGTTGGAAAAGAACAAAAAATCTGGCAAGAAATGTTTGCAAGGATGTAGTTAAATGAAAACACTCTGCTCACAGCAATGTAAACTGGAAAAACCATTTGCGGGAAAAAGGTTGGGGGGGATGCATTACCTGTTAATTTGAAAAGCACACACAGTACCAATTAGCTACCTCCTCCTAGGTGTATGCCATAAACATCTGAGGAAAGAGTGCTTAATTTAAAACCAAATTATGTTTGCATTTGACTCCCACATCTAACACAAACTAGGTATCTCATTTTGAAAAATGTGTCTTACCACTCTGAGACTCAGCTATTGTGAAAATTGAAAAAGATCATTTTTAAAAACACTCAGTAGAACTGTGGACACATAAGTGCTCAATAAAAAAAAATTTTTAATTGTATTAGTAGTGTTAATTTTTATGGATATCATTAATAATTTTATAAGGACTTTAACCTTAGAAAGAAACTGCCACGGAATGTTTCACTTTAGTATTTAAAAAACACTTTGTAAAAAGAAATCTGTATTTTCCATTTACTCCTGAAATGAGTAATTTGCCAAGCATTAAAAAAATTTCCTGAAGCATCTGTGGGTCATTTTTTTGAAGGCGGTCTTTTTGAGTGGTCTTTTGTCTAGAATCCCTGAAATCAAGGGAAACGTTAGTGCTAAAGGTGAGCCATCTTTGAACTACTATTACTCGTGTAAGGTTTTCTCCCTGACAGTGGTTATCCAAGTCACTCTGCCCCCTAGAGTCCTACGAAAGTATTTCTGCACAGTCACCAGCCAACCACAGACACGGCTATTGGGCAGCGCTAATACTTCGAGGGCGGAGCCTCAAAGAGGGCGGAGCTTAGCGTGACATTTTACGACTTTGGTTCCGCCGGCGTCACTTGCTAACATAATCGACCGTCCAGTGCGCATCCGGCTCTCTGTGTGGACGGCAGAACATTCCACGGCGCCAGAACAAGCACTGTGAGGGGCGCGGCTCCCTCAGAAACGCGGGCTGTGGCCCTCCCGGGAGGCGACCCCAGACCTCCGAGCCCTCTCCCCACGTCGCGCAGTCCCCAGCTCAGCCCGCTTCACCTGTCATCCACGCCTGTCGGCGCCTGCAGAACCGCGCCGCCGCGTCCTCTGCCAGGCCCCGGGAGCGCCGCCCCCAGCGCCATCGAGGTCATGGGCAGCCAGCCCCGCAGCCCCAGCGCCTGCCCTGCGCCCTGGTGGGGACCGCAGCCGGGAGGACCCCGCCCTGGCAAGCG